TTTAAATTATGACAATAAGCTGGTAGTTGGGCAAACGATGCTTCTGGGGACCCCCTCAACAATTCCAAGGCATAACATTTGGCTCTCCAAGCTTGAGAATATGAGATACTAATCTTGAACCGAGCATTCATGTCAGTCATAATTTCATGTCCCCGATATACCCTACCATTCAAAAACATTAACTCAGCCAGAAAACCACCCAACACCTTTTTGTTTGTCTGTCTATGGTGAGGAAAAACTTGGGTTCTTGAACATGTATGTTTATCAATAAAAGTCCTAACTTGAAACATTTCACAATCTTTTATCCTCTTTGCAATCATACGCCACGTACAGTTTTTGTCAATTATACACTTTGTTTCGAAAAGATCTTTGCTTGATTTGTTAACTTTTAGTTGATAGCCATCTTCCACACATTTCGTATACAAAGCTATCTTCAAGTCTTCCATTGTATCAAAACAATCATCTTTCTTGATACGAATAACTTTTGTGTAACAATCAACTGCTATCTTTACCAACTCTTCTTCCGGTATCTGAAGTAATTCTGGCATATTCCAATTATACTCCCGTGGTATTTTCTTCTTTTTCTTTTCTTTGAGGACTTCTTCTTCTTCTTTTTCTTCTTCAGGGTTATATGAATTACAGAATGGATGCTCAACATGTTCATTTACAATCGTAACTTCCTCCTCATTATTATCAACAACATCTTCCTCGGAAACAGCTATTTCATCATCAAAATTCGGGTATTGACCAATATCAAAATCATTACACGCAGGGTCTGTTTCTTCTTCTGAAACATCATCAAAATCCGAGTATTGACCAATATCAAAGTCCGGGTATTGACCAATATCAAATTTCAAATATTAACTAGTACTCGCAATTTTTAATGTTGGCTCATAATCGTCTAACTGGTCAATACAAAAACCAAATTTGGTGCTGAAAGTTGATTGGGATTTGGATTAGGAAAAGGTTGTGGGTTTTGAGATTGTGTTTGATATTGTATTTGGTATTGGAAATGTGGTGAAACAAAATTTTCTTGGTGATGAAATTGTGGTGGAACCATTAAATTTTGAGGCTGATAACAACGTTGTACATTGTGAGCACTATAAACTAGGGTTGAAGAACTTAGTTGATTACTACCCACTACTGACTAAACTTCACTACTTCTAGGTTCAACAACATACAATGTAACATCATCTTCTTGCGAAACACTAATGTAAGCAATGAATCGTTCAACATCTTCATTGTCGGTTAACAAATAAACTTTACCTTTTCTCTGATAAGATAGCCTAAATCCACTTAGAGGCTTTAAATTCAATTTCTTTGCAACATGTAACATTAGAGTTTCATAAGTTAACTTTTTTAATGACAATTTTAGTTGAAGATTCATGGGTAAAGGCATATATTGTAAAACACCATGAACATTCTCCCATGACCCTCCAAAACACAAATCTATCTAGACATAATCAACATTAGATGATTTCATTCTACAAATTGTAAATTAATTTACTAAACAAACGAGCTATAAACTACATATCATCACTAACTTAGAGAAAAACATACCTATATTAAGTTGATAGTTGATAATTTGGAAGAGAAATCATTGAAAAATTATATAAAAAAAATTAGAGATGAGGAAGGATGTCGTCGGTTATAGGAACGGATATCGCCAGAAAGAGTGATAGATGGAGATGGAATGAGTTGCGATTTAGGGATTTAGGTTATGAATTGTTGCTGTTGCGTAGTTATATACCCAAAACATTTGTGTTGCGAAACTAAAACCCGTTGCAAAATTAAAATTCGTGTTGCGAATTCGAAAATCGAGTTGCTACAACAAAATTCGCGTTGCAAATTCAAAATCGAGTTGCGAATTCAGTGTTGCGGATTTGTAAATCGCAATGCGAATTTGGAAATCGCGATTTATATATTCGCGTTGCGAATTTGTTGGTCATTTTCGTAAATCCAAAAAAAGTTGGTTAAAATCTTATATCAATTCACTGCCCTCCACAGTGGCTTCCAAGAAACCAACTTTATCTTTATATATAGGAACAAACAGGGGGAATCATTCAACCTGCAAACATTTCTAAAAAATAAATTCAAAAAAGAATGTCTTTGTTCATTAGTTGCGAAGTTATTATAATTTGTTAAAATAAAACAAAGAATCCAAACGTGGCCCCTCGTAGATTTAATAACAGCAGTCGCTGAGATGCTTTGTATGAATAACCAATTTCCTAGCAGGTGCCCTTTTGCTTGTAGTTCTATGTCAATTAGTTAAACTTTAGCAATTTGAGATGAAATTAAAGATACTGTGACCAACATCAGCCAAAGCAAGGGGAAAAGAATACCAGATATTGAGGGTCATATATCGCTTAACCAAGAGGCATTACGGGTATATTGTTTTCGTGGTTAGTTAAATTTAAGGGTAAACTACAGAAATAGGCGCCAAACTTTTAGGGTACTTGTACTTAGTCACTGATTTTTTCAAATTTATAATATAACTACTAATTTTTTTAATTCGCTTTCATTACGATCTTTTATGTTAACATAAATATTGAGATGGCATGTTAGAGTCTTCATCTTTTAAAAAAAAACTCTAAGTTTCTCAAACTAATTGTGTCACACCCCAAAAATTTATTTGAAATTTATTTAAACTTAATTAATTGTTTTTCCAGACTAAACTACAATTTTTTAAAAACCTTCTGAGCTAAATTCAAAAGTTTGGGAAATTTGGGGATCAATCCTGTAATTTACCCATCCTCATCTGTCAGCTAAAAAAAGAGTTAGGGGTTGACCAGAGTTAAACCCTTGATATAGGGTATGACCGGCCATGCTCTTACCGACCAGCCTAGGCCCTATTTATGTTTAAAATATTAAAATAGATATTTTGTTTATTTTGTTTTCGGGTTTTAAATTACCCAAACCAGAACCCCCCGTGTTTCAACCTCAGTTTTGTTCCCCAAATTATAACCCTAGATGTCGTCTCTCCTCCACAATTTCCTTCGATCCGGCCGCCAATACCGCGCTTCGTTGCCACCGGTCGAACCAACATCCTCCGACGAACCCAACCCGTTCGTTAGCTCACCAATATCTATCACCGTTTTGTCGAATCGAGAGAAGAATCCAACGCCGAAACCCCTCGCAGCTTCGTTTTTTTCGACGATTCCGGCCACCTCGCTCATCAATCTGCCTCACCGCCCAAGCATCGGAATCCCCAGCTCCGTGCGACCAAAACCCGACCGGTTTTATACCGAAAATAGTCCCGTCGTCGACCGTCGTCTTGGGTAAGCTTCGGTTATATTTCAGAAATTTTTGGCATGGTTTTGGCTGTTATTTGGTTTTATCTTGATTGTAATATATGAGTGCTTGAACAGAGAGTAATCGGTAGCCGGAACTGTCCTCGTCCCCATTGTCACGCGTCGTCGTGTGCACGTGGGGCTTGTCCCCAGCTCCTCCTCCTCCTCCTCCTCCTCCTCCTCCTCCTCCTCCTCCTCCTCCTCCTCCTCCTCCTCCTCCTCCTCCTCCCCTCCTCCTCCTCCTCCTCCTCCTCCTCCTCCTCCTCCTCCCCTCCTCCTCCTCCTCCTCCTCCTCCTCCTCCTCCTCCTCCTCCGCCTCCTCCTCCTCCTCCTCCTCTCCTCCTCCTCCTCCTCCTCCTCCTCCTCCTCCTCCTCCTCCTCCTCCTCCTCCTCCTCCTCCCTCCTCCTCCTCCTCCTCCTCCTCCTCCTCCTCCTCCTCCTCCTCCTCCTCCTCCTCCTCCTCCTCCTCCTCCTCCTCCTCCTCCTCCTCCTCCTCCTCCTCCTCCCTCCTCCTCCTCCTCCTCCTCCTCCTCCTCCCCTCCTCCTCCTCCTCCTCCTCCTCCTCCTCCTCCTCCTCCTCCTCCTCCTCCTCCTCCGCCTCCTCCTCCTCCTCCTCCTCCTCCTCCTCCTCCTCTCCTCCTCCTCCTCCTCCTCCTCCTCCTCTACTATCTCTTGTCCCCTTCATTATTTTCTAGGAAAAGGTTGTTAGGATTTTTTTATTTCTAATCCCTAATTTATTCTTATAGATGATGACTTCTTTATTATTTTCCATGTCACTTCCAACTAGTTACTTGTGGGATTTTTTTAAATGATCATGTCACGTATTTGTTAAGGGTTAACGACAGCTAACGAAGAAGGACTAAAACTGAATAAAACGATAACATAAGGGACCATTTACTCTTAATTTTTAAATTGATGATCAAAGTCGATCATAACAAAAACAAAGGGGACTATCTGCATAGTTTACCTTTTTTATATTAAACCTTATATATATAGTTTAATATGTTAATATTTATATATGTTTTATTCGCATAAAATTATTTTTAAAATAATATTCAACCTATTAAAATTTTATTTTATAATTTAAATTTAAAATTCAATGTGACACATACTTTTCTTACATTGACATTAATGTAGCAAACAGCATATATTAGTATTAAACCAACCCCCTCTCTCCATCTCATTCACTTCGAGTTTGACCCGTTGCCAGCCACCGCCACCTCTTCTCTCTTGTCCAATGTCTACCCCACCCCGCACTATCTTGCAAGTATTTTCTTAGTGCAGAATAATTTTTTTATGAGAGATCCTCTCTCTTCCATCTTTTCTTTCATTAAAGAAAAACCCACAAAGCTTAAATAACCTTTCTTCTCCCTTCATTTCTCTCTTTTCCTGCTCTGAAAACCCTAATTCAGATCATCTTTTAAGATGAGTAGTCGACAACAGCAAGAAGAGAAAAAGAAAAGCTTGCTTTTCGTGTCTGGAAAGTATAATAGAAAGCTGGTTTTCTTCTTTGAGTGAAAGAACAAGAGGGAAGATCAAGTTCGATATCAGGGGAAAAGGGGAAGCGTTAAGAATATATGGCAACTTCTCAAGCTGTTGTTTTAGAATCATTCATCTCTTACCTACTTTTTCAGTTTCTTCATAATTACCTTTAACCTTTTTTTAATTCTTGTTGCCTTTTCAAAGAGATTATAATCGGAGCTTTTCTCCATGGATTCTGGTAACAGTAGTAGCATGCAGTCTTCAAGCGGCGGTGGTGATGACGAGTATGACTCAGTCTCGAGGCCTGAGTCAGTCCCAGTTTTTTTTAGCAGTTCAGGCCATTTTCATCCCTTATCAAATCAACACCCTTCACTCGTCGTCCACCACCAAGATCAGCCGTTCACTTTCTTTGATCCTTCTGCAAATTATCTCAACAATCCTTTCTCTCTATCTCCGACGAACAACTCGCTGCTGAATTTTGACGGGGTTAGACCTCGGATGAGCCTAAGATCTGAACCCAACACCATTGACCTCGGTCACCTATCGAGCCAGTCTATATTAGGCTCACATTGTCTTAATCAAGGTCCATTCCCGGGCTCATCGTTGGTGCAACCTAGGTCAGTTCATGAAAATGGTGTAAGAACTTCAACACAATCTGATCAAACCACAAGTGCTGTAAAGAACCCCAAGAAGAGGACAAGAGCATCAAGGAGAGCACCGACAACAGTTCTCAGCACCGACACAACGAATTTTAGAGCAATGGTGCAAGAATTCACCGGCATCCCAGCACCACCGTTTGCGGGCTCGTCGTATTCTCGAAGACTTGACCTTTTCATATCTGGCTCAGCCTCACGGTTCAGTCATTTGGAACCATTGGGTTCTTCTCTCTACCCTATACGTCCCTCGGCTAAAAGGGTCCAGACGACTCCATTCGCATCCTCGTCTTCTCCTTCATTGTTAAACGATCCCTTACTTGCTGCTGCTAATACAAGCACCACCACCATTGCCAATGCATTCAATCCTAGTTCCAGTAACTATCAAATTCCTTCAGATGTAGGCTTACTAAAGCAGCCTCATATTTCCAACTTTCAGAACCAGAGCCAAACCCTATTGCTCCAGTCCTTCCTAGACCCGCCTCCTCCTTTACACCCATCTCTCGGTTTGCCTGGTTTCGGTGTGAAGTCCCAGGGAAGCTCGGCCATTGATGAATTGGGGTTTCGCCATGGTAATGCAAGCCTCGGTAGCTTACAAAATCATTTAACACCAGAAGCTGAACGTTCAAGGAACGAGCGCAACTGGAGTGATCATGGTGTTCGACTAAACGATGGACTGGAAAACGTTTCTTCAAGAGCAGAAGGTACTGTTGGTTCATGGATTTGTCCTGCAGAGTAGAAATTACCGATCACCTACTACTAAACTTAATTTGCAGAAATACTGTCATGCAGAAGAAGAACTAGTAGAAGGGTTTCTTTTCTTATTTTTCTTTTGTTCATTTTAGAGAATAATTAATTCATAATTCCATCATCATACTTATCTTCTGTCAGACACATTTTATATGATATTATCGTCCTTTATTGGGATTAAACACTTACTAAGATATACAGTGGTGCCATTTAATTTAATTTATTATGTGTTTCAAACACTCGGGTGGAGAACTCAACTGCAACATCTATGTACGATGAGGAACAAGGAAACCTCTTTCCTCGTACATTGCCTAGTGGGAGAAACTAAATAGGTCGGTGCTGTTAATAAAAATAAAGACCCCTTTTTTATTTTCTATTCCTTAAATTCCCCCCAACTTATTAAATAATCTCCAATTGGTTGGTAAACTTATTAAATATTTTTTAATGATAAAAAATAATACTATTTTTAAAAAAAATCAAATTTAAACAGTTATATCAAACCATCGATAGAATATATATTATTAAACAAAGTAAATAAATATTATTTTATAATTATCCTAAACTATTTCAAAAGAATTTTCCAATGCCCGGTGGTTCTTACTTACCCATTTCCCCGAGTGCTTCAAAATCTCTTGGGAGCTGCTTAATCTTATTATGTGACTAAAGTGGAAGAGAGAGGACCTTCCCTGGCCCTTCTCACGGCCTTTATTTTTTAACCTATTCAACTTCTAGTAGTTGCAATAAAAATAAATAAATAAATAAAGATAAGGTTTTTTTCTAGTTAATTTATTTTATGTACAATGCCAATAATTCCTCAAAATTTCTCTTTTTGAGTATTTTTTTTTTTGTTAACTTATAGTACTCTTCAAATAATTTCTTCGTTGAACAAAAATTTGATAATATTCTTCACACATAACCCCAAATCAAATACTAAAAGTTTTAATTTTATGGTGATTAATATGATCTTTTGTAGTTAATTAATACGATTAGTTATTATTCCACCATTTTCTTTATGTTTATTTACCTTAAATTTTTAACTATAATATTTGATTTAATTGATTTTTACAATCATCCTAAGAAATAACATTTTATGACATACCCAAAAGGAATAAAGTAACAGTTAGTCTTTAAGCTTGCTTTTTTTAAACTAGGTCCCTGAATTTTTTTATTCATATTAATCCTTAAACTTGAATTGGTCATTTTATGATATTATAGCATGATATTGTACCATATAGTATAATATTAAAGTACCATAGTATTAAATAAAAGAAATATTTTTTTAAAATTAACGTAGATAAAAAAGGTTTAATGATCAAATTGAGAAAAATATTGAGTTAAGGGATTATATATTACTTTATCCCTTCACTAAAGAAATAGGGGAAGGGGAGGAGAGAGTGCGCGGAGTGATCGACTGCAAGATTGAAGCAATCTACACCTTACCTGCCGCAATCATAAACCACAAGTTAAAATATAGCTTCCTACTACTACTACCACTACTACTACTACTACTACTATTATTATTATTATTATTATTATATTATTATTATTATTATTATTATTATTATTATTATTATTATTATTATTATTATTATTATTATTATTATTATTATTATTATTATTATTGTCCTTCGTTTTGATTTTAAGTTTGATTAAATATCCTAAATCATTCTCTTAAATTATTATTAGTTTTAAAGGCAGCTGCCGTTCACGTTAAGATATACTCTAATTAACGATCAAAACTGTAGGGTTGCGTATGTATAAGGCAACTTTAATATATTGTAGGTGATCTTTTCTTGATTTTGCTAATGCTATATCAGGAAATAAAAGTTAGGAATAGGTTCACAGGATGATGGAAGGTATGGTGACATCCTCTGTGAATTTTAAATTTTTATATATTTTAAATATTTTTCATTGATAGTTTAATTTTACATCTTTTTAAAATTTATAATTTAAGTTTTTAAATTTTTAATATACAATTTATTAAGTTTATACTCTTGATATTAAATTTTATGTCCGACCTATGCTCATAGTGATGGTATTTGGGAGGTTATATATGCAGTAAAAACTAGCATGTGATGTTCACAATAATTTGTTTATGAATTAGATTCCTTGCATCTAATTAGAGTAATTGGAGATGGATTACAATTGATGAAATGCAATAAAGTCAATGATAATTAATTATTTTCTTTCTTTTCATAATTTGATCGGTTGTCCAAGATTTTGAACCACATGCTAGATCCTTGTAGCCTATTCATTGGACTATACAAAGAGATGTACATTATCTGTGGCCGTATATGAACGAGGAGAGAGAGAGAGTTTGGGGTTAAATTGAAATCTTTTGTGAATCATGTTAAAAGCTTGGGGTAATGATTAAACATGAGAATTTGTGAGATGGGTAAGACAAAGAGGGTACAAACAAGGATGGGTCATGAGAAATTGGTCGTTTTTTAGAAAATTTTAAATTATTATACATTTTATATCTTTTTAGTTTTATTAATAACTTATTTTTTTCTTTAAAATTTTATAAATTAGTTAATAATATAAAATAATGCCACCGTCCTAGGAGTAAATAATGAGACTATTAAGACAAAGAAGACATTATAACAAGTGAAGGGGGATGATTGTTACCAATATGGGAATTTGAGAGGGGAAAATGTTGGTAATGACATGTGATATTTTCTCTTTTGGAATCATGGTGGCCCACGCCGCACAATAATCTGGTTTCTAGTAATCATGATTGTTTTCAGATCTCTCTCTCCTCCCAGTCATGTGAGACAGACTGCACTTTCATCCTCGGTTTGTAAAAAATATCAGAAATAACAAATCTCGTTTTCATTAAATAAAGGGCTAATGTGGAACTAATTAATTTTTGAAGGGACTAGAACTACGATTTTACAATTAATAGGATGCGTAAGAACAAGATTAGTTAAACAGTGAAATAACAGATGCTGAAAGAAGAATTAAAAAGTATAATATATACAAAAAGGTCCTTTCAAGGTTTTCAGCTATGATAATGAGGGTGTTGAAGCATCCTTTTTTTTTACTAGGGTTGTGTTTTATGTTTGTAAGTTAAAGTGTACGTAAGCAGTGATGGCAGTACATGGCAACCTCACGCAATTCGGTCGTCTCTGAAGACTAGGAGCTGGAGAGAATAATAATAAACAAGCCATAGTGAATTAGACTGCCAATGATGCAATCCTACACAACATTGGGGTTAACAAAGAAAAATAAGCATTTACTTTGACATTTATTTTGAATTGGGGGATAAAATGGATGATTAATTTGTCCTTAAGACTTAAACAAAGATATATTAATGACTTCTACAATAAAAGAGAGTAATTTTTTTAAAGGATTTATATTCGAATAATTACGTTTGTAAAGTATATATCTTTGATGATAAAACTATAAGTGTTTAAAAAATTGGATGATCATTTGAGTACTTTACTCATTATTCTATATAACAACTGACCACAAAATATATTTCATTATATACTTACAGATAGGGATCAAACCAACATATGAATTTATTTAAATCTATCTAAGAATGCAGAGGGGGGAGCAGTGACCACACTACAAGTAGAAGCAAATGGTGTAGCTAAAAAGGGAAAGGGGGGTTGGGAATGGCATCCTAGTCACTACTCAGGTCGGTATCATAGTGCAGTTAGGTAGCCCACCACAGAATAAAGTCCTTAGCTTCTACCCAACACTAGCAAACCTTGTTTACCACTACCAACCCATTCACATTCAATTCTTCAATTTTTAAGAAACACAGATGGTGAAACCCATCAAACGATACATCCGATAGAAGTAATGTTTATAGATTTTGAGTTCGAACAATTATATTTGTAGAGTGTGAGTATAATGTTAATAGATTAAAAAAATGTGAAAGAAAACACATGGTGCGGTACAATAACCCAAGAATTATGAATTTTACGTGTTTGCATCTATAAAGATTTACAAGCTATTTCATTTTGAAAATACATTCAGAAAATCCGGTTTACTTTGAAAATAAAGTTGATGAACTGATGCTGCTGGATCTGAGAGTTCAGCACATTCAAACCTGAAAACATATATTCTAGAAAAGTACTGATAGGCAGCGTTCCATGCAGTGCAGAATATTTTTGTATGTCCGAGTCTGAGACGAACCAGCTCATGGCCCTGCTATATTGTTCACACTGCAAATACATGCCAAAGGTTAAGGACAAGTTAGTAGTCAACAGTTATGATGTTCTCAAGTCTTTAATGTGCACTACATTTGATTCAAACCGAATTAATTTACTCAAATCAAAATTAATTAGGTTATTTAATAAATTATATCATGTTATTATATATGCTTTTACATGTTTCGCATTTGAACATCGGTTTCATGATTATTTTCTCATGAAAAATTAAGTTGTGATTTTGTATCTTATTTTTAAGGGTAAACTACATAATTGGTCACTTTCGTTTGAGTTTTATACACTTTTCCTTACTAAATTCAAAAAACATAATATTTGATCACTTTTATTTTGTTTTAATTCAGTTGTCGTCTCTGAAGGTTTGATGCAGGGGGATCCGAGACAGATGATGCTGAGCTTTCAGATTGCATCTTGATGGCGCTGAGATACCATGAATTGGCAGATCAGCGCAAAGGCAGGAATTGATTGTGACATGTTCCTCATTGGGGTCGTTTTGAGTATGTTTCAGTCTTTTGGCCATAACTTTAGCTATAGGTGTCAGAATCGCGCATAAGACCCCAATCCGGAAAGCTCTTTTCGACGCGCACGCTCTCCACATCGAGCCATGCTCTATGTGGCCTTTTTTTCAACCTCAAATTCTGCCGTTTTCCCCTCCGAATCACTAGATTTATATATTTTTTACTATTTATGGTAATATTTCGATTATCAATTAGGAAGTCAATTTAAATCCGATTTAGGCCGGATTTTTTGGAGATTGCTTATTTTATTTCAAATTTCAATTTAGAGTGATTTTCGGGATTTTGCTATTTTT